GATAGACATAAATACTTCTAAAAACTGAATACACAGAGCACAAGCAGGCATGTGAGAAACGATATAGGCACTCATTGAAAATAAGTATCAGGACGCCCACTGGGTGGCACACCCTAGGCTGGGCATTGCAGGATGCTGCTCCCCTCAGCCATGCCATGTGGCAGGACCCATCTGAGCCCGGAGAGAGCCTTAGACACTGTGGAAGCTTGAGCCCACCCGTTTGTCACTTCGTGGTCACTGCAGGCCAAAAGAAGCACAGTCTTGAGCTCAGGTAGACCTCTGCTGAGGCCACCATGCCTCAGTGATGACACTCAAACAGAGGGGGACACAGCCTCTGGCTCCCCACCCTTCTTAGTCAAAGCCATCATAGCTCTACTTCCCGGGCATCTGCCTGCTTCTCGGCTCCCTGCCTCCAGCCCCGAGCCCGGGTCTGCCCTGCAGCAACACCACCACAGCCTGGTAGGCTGGGTAGAAGCCTAAGGCCAATCGCACATCTCTTACAGAACAGAAGTCTCCGTCTAGTGGCTTCCCACTGGGGCAAAATCTGAGTCTCCACCTCAGCCCCTGACACTCCATGATGGGCCCTGGCTGTCCTCCTTGCCACTCCCTAACCCAGCTCCAGCTGCACGTTCTTCCCTGCTTTCCAAACATACCAGCTGACTCCTGTCCCAGGCTTTAACACATGATTTCCCCCCTTCCAGGAATACCACTACCCAAAACCGTAGTGTTCTCTCTCCTTCTTCTCCTGGGTCTCTCAAAACTCATCCCCTAAAGAGCCCACGTGGAACAGAGCCTTTCTCTTCGCCTCCTCCTTTCTCCTTCAGCGTTTCGCATCAGCTGACATGATATTGCTGTCTGTTTTCTTGGTTAGCAGCCGTCTCCTTTACCAGGACACAAATGCCATGGGCACTACTGCCTCTTCTGTTGAGCTTGTGCCTTGCCTGGAATAGAACCTGGCACGCAGTAGGTGTTTAATAAACACACGTGGGATAGCCTGCCGAGTTGTGGATGGGATTATATTCTACGTGCTTCTCCTCCTTGTCTGCATCAGCTGGTGCCAGCTCTAAGCTTCCTCAAGCGCTCAGCAATCCCAAATGTCTGCTTTTGGGTTCAGGCTACGACTTGCTCTCCAGGCTCTAACACATCACTGAGCTCTCGACGCTCTCTCAGCAGCTCTCCACGCTTTCCCTGCCAGATCTCCACCCATTGTGCAGTGGTACACTTCCCAGCATCCCTTGTCCTGTTGGATGGTGCTGCCAGCCACGCCCCAGGAAGTCCTGACCCCGAGATGCAGTCATCACAGGCTGTGGGCTCGCTCCTGTTCCACAACTCAACTCCATGTCACACAACCTGCCACAATCTGCCACCTCTGCCACCTGCACTCTGTACAGCACAAGCTGGAAGGCACATCTCTGAGCACGGTGCTCCTGTGCTGGAACCTGCATTCTGCTTTCCTTTGCTGTCCAGATAAAAATCAGAATCTTCGCGCAGTTTCTGTAAGCAAGGCGGGGGCTCTGACCAGGACACTCCAGTACAGTTGCACAGGTGTTGATTGCTGAAATTCCTTTGTTCCTGTGGGCCAGCAGCCTCAAGCTCTTAGGTAGCCCTCATACCCACTGCCCTGGCCATTCTGTCTTGTCTCCTGATCCCTTCCCCTTTGTTGGCAACCCCAGGGCTAATACGGGGTGCAGCAGGTGATGTTGGGACTCCTGAGGGGCACTCTCCCAGCTGCTCGGTGCTGTGTTCTTCTCTGACTTTGCACCCCATGTCCCTCTTGCCCTCTGCGTGTGACCCACTCTGGTCTTCCCCAAACTCCTGCCTGGGGGATGCAGCACAGGCTGCTCTTGTGGCTGGAATGTTCTTCCCTCCTTCATCTCCTTTATCCCAGCTCAGTACTCTTGCTCACAGAAGTCTTCTCCAGCTTCTAACTCTAGGTCAGTTCTCTTATCTACTCTCAGAATATCATAGACCATTCTTTTGTGAGACCTAACGTAGTTTTGGAATTGCATCTGTGTAAATATTTGATCATCAGCTCTCGCAGTCAGCAAACTACAGTTGATAGGGGCTAAGGACTATGACTTATTCTGCTCATCCACTCTGCAGCCCCATACAACACATCCCTGCAAAGACGTGCTAGAAGACACAGGATGTAGGGGCCTAATGCTCAATGAGCTCCAAAAATTAAAAGAATCAGGCATTCCCATAAGCATCCTGACGTATATACGTGCACATGTGACACAGACAACAATTCCTTCCTTTCTATAACAGAGTAGTGATGATGACATAAAAATTAATAGATAGGATAGATTCAAAAAGGAAATGGCCCCTAATATGCAGACGTCTCCTGCAGCATCCAAGGCTTCTTCTTGCACGCTGCTTAGAGTACCCGCTTTCCGTGATGGTGAGCAGCACACGTTCTTCCCAGATGCACTATCTTAGAAGTGTGTTCCTGACAGCGGAATGGCTATCTGTCACAGTCCTCAGCTCCTGAGACTCAAGCTCAAAGCAAATGCTTAAGCCAGGCCCCCAGGACAAGAGCTGTTTTTAGCTTCTCAAAACAATAATGCATCTTTTCCAAAGGAGAAGCTCTGCTGCCATTACAAGGCAGCCTGTGACCATGATAAAAAAGCAACATTGTTCCAGGGGTACCAATGTGCTTAATGAGTGCAGGAGCAAGGCCACTCCAGCCACTCCTCTGGCCCATCCTCTCCCGCTGAAGCAGAAACCAACCTGCCCTGTGCAACCAGAGCGAGCTGAGGCGATGCTGACCCAATCCTTCCCAGAAAGAGCCTGGCCCTGGCTACCAATGACTGAGAGCCGGGACACAGGCCAGCAGGCCTGGCTGCAGCCAAGGGCTTGTGCTGTGGAGGATTCTCCTTTATTTTCCTCTGCCATTCACTTTCCTGCTTGCAACCGAGCCTTTCTGGAAGAAAGATGCTGGTGCCAGCTAGGACTGCAGTCACAGCGCAGGGCAGGGTCCCCTCCACCTCCCTGTGACTCCTCAGGCGCTGAGCCCGTTGGAAATGGTGGTGATAAAGTGCAAACACTGCCGTAGTGCCTCTGCTCTCCCACAGGGAGCCAGGGAGTTGCTCTCGGCTGAGGAGGTGGAGAAATGAGGCAGTGACCCCACCTAGAGACCAATCAGACTGGAGCTGTTCCCCGGAAGTCATCAAAATCATCCAATTTCACCAGAAAAAGAGCCCTGACTCAAGCCTCACAAACATTCAGTTGTCTTCGCCTCAGCTAAATGGATCCCTCTAAGCCAAGCCCTTGGGAGGTCCTGCAGTGGAGTCTCCCTCCAGGAGCTGCACTGCGAAAAAGCCCATTGGAGCTGCCAGCCACGGCAGAGACAGAGCACCGAGAACCCGGCCCCAAGCCCTAGGGAGGCCCCAAGAGACAGCAGGTCTCATACCACAGGGACAGGCAGAACAGTGCACCTACAGCCTGCAGAGCTGCACATGGGTGTGTGCAGTTTGCGTGGCCCGAGCCTGCATTCAGTACCACCACTCTGTCCCCCACTTCCTACTTCCACAGCCTCCCACTAAGGCTGAGATTCATTGTCTGCACCCAGCAGCCTTCTGAAGACTGGCCCTCTGTACCATCACAAGGGCTCAGGTCAATGTCTGCAGGTCTGCAGATGCCTGTCTGCTGGCATTTCTGGGCTGGGAGGGAAGGAGGGAGCAGGGCCTGTGGTCTCCAGTCAGTTCTCACCCCTGAGCTGCACCCATGTGCCAGGCCCTCTGGCTTTCAGCCACAGGCTTAGCATCACACCACACCACGCTGATCTCTGGAGGGGACACCACCCCACCACCCTGAGTCCAAATGGAAAATTGAACTCTCTTGCAGGGCCACGGCAGGTGTGGACAGAGGTATAGGGGTGAGGGAAGGGGCACGCTGTCCACAGCAAGCCTGGCCTCTGCTCAGCAGGCACTTGTCCCTGCGGTCTGTGGCAGACCACCAACCTCTACCACACCAGTGAACCACAAGGACTGTGGGTCGGGAACAGAGCCCATCCCAAAGGGGCAAATGCTCTAGGATTCCGTAGTAGTCCTACGGCCCTAGGCAGACACATTCCTGGAGACTGGGAGCAGAAGGGTGGCTGAAGGGAGGGTGGGGGGCTGTTGGTTAATGAGGACAGAGCTTTGGTTTGGCAAGATCAGGAGCACTGTGGAGAAGGACACCATTCTGATGACAGCAGGGATGTGTCAGCACTACCTACCAAACTACACTGACAAGCCACTATGATGGCACAAGCTTTTACCACAGTGGAAAACAACCTTTAAATGGTCAACACAGTTTGAAAAGAGTGACAACTGATTCTAAATTAGAAACTGAATTAGCACATATAGCTTAACAACTTAACTGGCTGGCAAACAAAAAACCAAAATGAATTTCCAGTACACATACCTGTTCCTCTAGGGCCTGGTTTTTTCCCTATCCAGTTGGTTCCTAGATCATGAACCCCAAACCCGACTGTCTGAGCTCCAAATCATTCTGAGAACACTCCATTTCCTCTTCAGCTCTTCTGAGACCAAGCTCCTATCTTTGAGCTCAGAAGCCCTCATGAAAAGCCTGCAAGCCATTTTGAACTAAGGCCTCCTCTGTCATCATCTGACACAGGGTCATCAGTCTCCTGTCTGCTCCTCAGCCTGGCTGAGAATGCATAAAGGCTGCTAGTGGACAAGGGAAATTATCTTTCTTGGCATGGCCTCCTTCAAAGGCCCTTCTTTCTGCCACCTTCCAAGACCACATCTAAGGGAAGAGGCTAAAAGGAACCTAAGTGTGGTCTCCCCCACCCTACCAGGCAGCAGCCTTTCTCTGCTCTGGACCTGGGGCCAGAGATGGAGCACAAGCCTGGGGACCACAGGCAGGATTCCCTGGGAAGTTCTGAGGCCTGGGGGGAGGGGGGGAAGTAGACAGAGCGACTTTCAAAGTTCTCAGGAAAGGGCACCAGGCAAGAGCTGCTCTTCAAGAAAATGGCCTGTCCCTGTCCCACTTACCTGGTTACAGGTGTTAATATCTACCCCATTCCGCAGGTGATCCAAAGCTTTGTCCAAGTTACCTGATCGCGCTGCCTTCAGAAAGCTGGTAGCAGCATCAGCCTGTAGGAAAAACAGCAAACTATGAGCGTCCCTGCATCAGGCTGACCTCGGGGGCCCCACAGATCTCACCCCTTACCCGTTAGGGTGCTCTGTCACCAGAGTGTCCCCTGGTGTGGTGGGGTTGCCCTTGGGGCCCCCAGGTGGACTGTTCTGGGCCCAGGAGCCTGGGCCTCCCTCCCACTGAGTATTTTATAGGCCTACATTCTGGGGACTGCTTCCTGGGTCCCTGCCTTCTGGAGCCATTCCATTCCAAGAGCCAGTGCTCAGCACAGTCTGGGGTTCACTGCTTGGGTGTTCCAAGGATTCTATGTTCTCACTGGATGGTGGCCCCAGGGATTCTTGCACATGGCATCACAGGAAGCCTCAGGGGCTCCTCTGCACTGTTTTGTGTTTTCATACATAAGTAGCACAATGTTTACCATGTGCTAAGAATCACTGTCGGCACTACATGTGTAATATACATTCACACAGGCACACACAGGCATGCACTCATCTTCACAGTAAAAGCCTGAGAGGTGAGCGAGCATCCTGAAGCCTCCAGTTGGGTAGTTGAGGTCACTGAGGCACACAGAAGCTGAGACTTACGCAGGGTCACACAGGAATAAGAGGCATAGCCAGCACCCAGAGCCAGCAGTGTGACTGAACTTCTGCAGCTGGCTTTGTCTGTACTTAACACCAGATCCCATCACATTTCTTTGATTAAAGCCTGCCTTCTTTGGCTGCAGCTCAGCCATAGCTTCCAGCAGAGCAAGACTGGTTTGCATTAAGATAGGTGGTGACCAGGCCAGAGGGAGCACTCCAGCCACAGTGAAGTCTGCAAACCAGGGAAGGTAGGAGAGAGGGCACACGAGTGGAGGCTACAGCAGCTGCCTGGGGTAGCTGAGTGCCCCAGACACTGATTTCTTGATCTGCAGGTGCGGAGGGTATAGCCTTTCTCTACCCTTGTGATGCTTCACAGCAATCAGCTTAACACAATATAGAGTGAGCACAGTGCTAGGCTTATAGCTACACTAACAGTAGGCATGGCCGCATGGCCAGCCACAGGGGGCGAGGTGGGACCCTGGACCTCCAAGCCCCTGCCTCATGCTGGTTCCTGCTCCACAACAGTAATTCTGTCTCCTCCCCCTGCCACTTCCACAGAGAATGTGTGGCAGAGGTGGGTCAGCGTCCCCAGAGAAACAATAAGTTCTGTACCCATCGTAACTTGTCTTTGCTGGGGAAGAGTCCTTGCAGATTTGACTAAGCTGTGGCTCTTGATATGAGATCATCCCAGAGTCCCAAGGTTGGTCCTAAATCCAGCAGTAAGTGTCCTCAGATAAGTAGAAGAGGAGATGCCTACAGGAGAAGGGACTGAAGCGATGGCAGCCACCGGTCTAGGAAGCCGGCCATCCTAGGCAAGAGGTAGTGGAAGAACAGGCCGCCGAGCCTTTGCAGGGGGCATCCCGGCTCCCAGCTTCCCCTCAGACTTCCACCCCGCAGAGCATACGCCTCTACTGTAAGCCGAGTTTACAGTCACTCTCACAGCAGGCGCGAGAAACGAATGTACTCACTAAATGGTACCCATCCCTAAACACAGAACACCAGAAATCCACAATCGAGAGCTGCAAAACAATATTCCACAGTGAAATTTTGACACCCCATCTTTGGTTAACAGTGACCTGTGGCAGGAAAAAACCGTGAACACCGAGTCTTCTCTGAAGCTGGTCCCTACTGGTCCTTCCTGCAGCCCCTGGGCCCGCATGAGCCCGTTACGATGTAAGCACCCCTCCAAGCTCTGTGGCTGTCCATTGCCACCCTCACACACTTGGACCCCACTGCCCCCAAAACCCAGGAGACCCTCCTCTTCCTTCCTGCCCCCTTGTGGCTTTCCTAAGCTCTGTCCCTATCAGGCCTGACCCCAATCACTCCCTGGACCCCAGGGCTGTGACTTGCTCCTGTCTGGCAGCTCCAATCCTTCCTTCAGGGTCCAGGAGCCCCCACTTCCTTATGACCCTGCCCTTGGCAGCTTAGGATTTACTACCTTTAAATCGAGAAACTATAGGACATGACCTTGATTTGTAAAATGCATTTTAAACAAAAAATGCATATCATACAGGACTTACATAAACTAAATAACTAACGTTAATGTGCTTTAATTTATACAGGGCTTATCTCCTTAGCCAAATTACTTGAGTCGTGGGGTACAGACAAAGTCTCCCATCTCCTTTGAGTCCTTCAAAGTGTCCAGTACCTACAAGGCCAAGGCCTTCCTAAACCCAAAGCTCATACCCCTGAGGTTCTGGACGCTAGGCAGGGGTGTGTGTGTCGGGGGTATTACAGGCAGTGAGGACTGCTGGTTTCCCTTGCAGCATCTGGGTCCCAAGAACCCAGACTCAATGCTGATCGCTAAATAAGCCTCAGTGCTGGCTGATTCAGCAGCTCTATCTGATTCAACTAGGAGGAAAAACACAGTATTGTTTCCAAAGAAGGAGAGTGTTAAAGAGGAGACTCTCCAACTAATTAACTATCTTTTGCAGCACAATAATAGGATTCTGGATAAAAACCTGAGTGTAGGTGAATAAAAATAGATGCAATATCAACGAATGACACCATTTGACTGCTTAAGCACTGACTCTAGGAAGAAAATCAGGTGTTGGTAAAGGACCTCAAACCAGATATAGAGGCTAGGGGGAGACAGTCTAGACAGAGCAAGGAGGGTAAACGGTTTCTGTACTTCTAAATACATAGTCACAAGATTGTAACAATTAGTCATCAGGTCAAGCACATTATCAGCCATGTACCATCTCCCATGCCCTACCTCTCTCTCTCTTCCTTTTTTTTTCCTTCTGAGAGCAGGGGTTAAATTCAGACCCTTCACATTACAGCTACATCAGCCCTTTTTTCATTATTTAGAGTTAGGGTCTCACTAACTTGCTGGGTTCAACCTTGCAATCCGTCTGCCTCAGCCACCCACAGTGCTGGGATTACAACTGTGTAGCATCAAGCATGATTTTTTGTTTTGTGGTGCTGAGGGTCAAATCCAGGCACTCATGCAGGTTGGGCAAGCACCCTACCTCTAAGCTCACCCCAGGCCACTTTTAGTTCATCTTTTAACCCTTTTAACCCTTACCACAACCTGTGAGGTGGGTATAATTGTTATTCCCATCTTAGAGATGGCAAAATTGAGATATATAGAAGTTAATAACAGAAGTCCACCCAGATGTGACTGACTAAAACCTGTGACTCTGAGATGCTCAGCCATTCCGAAGCTCACAGTACCCACGCTGATAGCCTGACGGAGGTAGGGACTGCACGGACCACAATGAACCCACTGTGCAGTTTCTGGGTATGGCCAGCAGGTCCCTGCTCTGTCTCGAGCACTACGTGAAGTCAGCACAGTTCTCTAGATGGACTCAGCTAGTTCCAGATCTTCCTCTCATAGAGAACATCAAAGCCCAGAGAAGTGACTGTTTGGGTCACCTAACTCATTAGAGGTGAGTCTGCTTGCTAGGTTTTGTCATTTTTCTTTTTGGTCTCCCACAGACACAGAGTACAGGGACACAGCAGGAGCCTCAGGATGTCTCAGAGGCAGACGGTGACATCACTGCACTGGCTACTCCCCATCACCTGGTTTCATTCTTCAGTGTGTTTACTGAGGTCCTATTTCAAGTCCAGTATCCTGCTAAGGTAAAGTGAGAGAATAAAAACTCAGACTGCAGGTCTTTGTCCTCATGATTTGGAGAATAAAGTGGCTGAGTTATAAAGGGGTCACTGGCACACATAGCCACACGCAGCTTCCTTCCACAAGAACTCAGGATATCTCTGCGGGGCCGGGGATATTCAAGCCGCAGGGACGACTGCCCTACTTGGTATAAGAGACTCATCTTTACCATCCTGCACTCCTGAGCTCTGCTGGCCACCCATCTAGTTCAACTACTCCAGGTCCTGTGCTCAGCACGCCCAGGAGCATCCTACATCCTAAAGCAGGGATGGAAGAGTCAAAAGAATACAATATGTCCCATTACAAATACTGGGATTAGCTCAGGGTAGAGTGCATGCCTACCATCCATGAAGCCCTCAGTTCTATCCCTGCTAGTGGAAAAAAACATCTGAGTAAATACTAACCAAAATACTATTAGAGCTGAGGAACGGCACACATGCTGCAACGGGCTCTTTGTATAACTGAAAGCTCTGAATAGTTCGCCACCATCAGACCAGCTCTGGGCAAAGTTGCCAGCCCCCTCCAAGTGCCATCCCTTCCCTCAGACAGTTGGAGGAAGATGCAATTCAGGAGGAGACGGGGCCCCGCAGGAGCCCTGGCCCCACACGCACAAGCTTCCGTCAGGCTTCCTTCCAGCTCATCGTTACACAAGCCAGGTCACAGGTGCCATCACACCCCACACAGGCACCACAAATGTGGTCACGCACCCCACCGTGCGCCCCACGGAGGCCATGTTCCTGTCGTCTCTCTCTCTCATCTTGTGTGTCCTTTTATCTAACTTCACGTACGTGTCCGTGTGTGTGCTGGGCATACACAGCTACAGCCTACACACTTTTCATGGCCCACATCCCTGCTGTTCAATCCATGTGATAGCCCTAAACTTTCTTTCAAAGCAAACGGAGTTTACTCCCAGAAAGTACTTACTATGCTTGAAGCACTCTACATAAATGAACTCACTTGCTCCTCCCCAGAATCCCATGAAGCAGACACCTGTTATTATCTTTTTTGAAGTCACAGAGAAGTTACTTGCCCAAAGTCACACAGCTAATGAGTGGCTCAGCCAGGACTTGAATCCAGGTAGCATATACCCAGGTCCTTCCCTTAACCACGTACTGTCATTGTCACATGATAGCTGCTGGTAAGATTCCTCTCAAGTTCAGTCCTGGCCAGAGGAAGCTGCTTCAGAGGTCACATGCACTTCAGACGGAAGGAAACGGAAGAGAAGGGAGGGGAATGGATTTCCTCCTGGACTTGGTCACCAGGGTGGCTCCAAAAAGGGGGGGGGGTGGGTCCTGGTTACCTGAGACACCCAGCTATTATTAAACTCCCACTTCCTGTGTGATGACACCACCGCAGCAGTAGATGGGGTGCTTCAGTGTCTCGGGGAGAAGCCAGAAGCTCCACATCAAATGTCAGCAGGCCAGCATAGTGGAGCAGCTTCCACCAACAGAAGCTGGCTTGAGTCTCATCTCCGATACAGGGCAAGAATCCCAGGCCTGAGGTGCCCCAAGCTGTCCAAGCACAAATCATGATTACTTTCTCAAGGTCTTTGGGATACAGTTCCAATCCACCGTGATGAAGCTAAGTTTGCATCGGCGTCTGTAAATAGCGATAAGCCAGTTGTCTCTCCTTCCTGAGAAGTCTTGTTTGACAAGAACACAGCTTCCTGGACACATCCATAGTCAGATCTCTTGGGCAGTCACGATGGTTTTCAGAGGGGAACTGCCACCCAGCCAGAGGACCAAGCCAGACAAGTTGCCCACCAAAGGTGTAACTGTCCACTGGGTGGGGCCTGCCTGGTTTCCAGCTCAGGACTTGGATCTGTCTCTCCAAGTCCCGGTCGAAGATGCTGGCTCTAGCTATAGCATCTGTGTGGCCCTGCTCCTCCTCCCCTTGATCAGGCAGACAGAAGTGACCTCCAGGCCCAACACGTATGCATTTCCACTAGGTTTGATGTCAGAAACCCGAGCTGTTGTAGCTTTCCAAAGTATGGGAGTTTCAGTACCCCAATTGAACTACCATAGGCAACGACATTGATGAGCAAATCAGGCGTCACTGACAACACGGATGTGTGCCAGGAGTCCAGGGTTCCCTTCCAAGCCCAATACGGCTGCAGCGCCTTAGGGGCTGAGGCTGCAGGGGTGGGTACCAGGTCAGGGCCTGGCATGGGCACCTCTCTGTGACCCCTGCTCTGACTCTTGGCACCCTGCGCTTCCTACCCAGGTCCCAGCCTCCCTATGCGGGTCTGACACGGGGATAATACGCAGCCGGCTTTGGCACACGAGCTGTGTGCTTTCCTGCCCCATACATTCCCGCTGCCTGGACACCCAGCCTTCCAAAAGGCAGGGAAAGGCCGGGCCGCGACATCCCCCGCGCCCAACCCCGGGCAGGGCGCACTGCTTGGAGCAGCCCCGCGGTGACTCGGATCCGGGCTACACCTCGCCGCCTTCCGCGGTCTGGTAGGGCCGCCGCCTCCAGGCCGGAGGAATTTTCCTCCAATCCGCACCGCTGGGCCGTGGAAGGGCGGCCGGACGCGCGTTCCCTCACCGCCGCGGAAGTTGGCGCCGACGCGGGGCGGCCCCGAGCCCGCGCCCCGAGCCCGCGCCCCGCGCCCCGCGCCCCGAGTCCACCCGGCCGCGCACTCACCGCTGGGTCTGCGCCCGGCCGGCCCTGCCGCGCTGCCATCACCGCGCCCGCGCCGATCGAGCTCCCCTCCCCCGTTAGCTGCCGGGCGACGCGGGGTGCGCCGGTGAGTTACGCGGCATCTGGCTAAAAATACAGGCACTCTGGGCTCTACTCGCCAGTCCAGAGCCTGCGCCGGCCGGCCGGCACTCCTGGAACTTCGTCCCGCTGGCCTGGCGATCGAGTCCGATGGGAAAGTTAATGCGAGCGTCCCTGAGAGCAGCACCTGCTGCCAAGCCCCGGAAGGCGGGCGGGCGGCCTGGCAGCGAGCTGCAGGTGCCCAGGGCGCCGCAGAAGGGGGCGCACACGTCCAGTGGAGGTGCGGAGCTCCAAGCTGCGCGCGCCACGCCTGCCCTGCCGGCCACCGACTGAGCATGGGCCTGGGCCCCAAAGTGGCCATGGTGAGCTCAGCAGAGTCTATTTCTGCCCATAACCAATTTGCATGTTTTGAGCTCTTGCTCCTGGCCTAGGACACCAGTTCTTCAGGCTATTTCAGATTGTGCAGATGAAACCAGGTCCCAGAGGCGGGTCTCTTCCCTCTTGCTCTCTGCTCTGGGGGTCCTGAAATGCCACCTGGGGCTGGTTCTAGACTGGCTTCAGTTTTCTCTTGTAGGACCACCCCGCCTTCTTATGAGGTCATGTGTTCAGCGACTACTGACAGAAGCATGCCAAGGGCTGCCAAAGTCTTAGGGGTGGCACTGGGACTAACTACATGCCTACCTCTGGAAGGTGAGACAAGGTTAGCACAGCCATGCAGATGGCTGGTCCCAGCTTTACTGCTTGCTCAAGTCACGATGTTTTGCATCATGAGCCTGACACCATGCTGTCTTCAAATAACAGTACCCCCTTCACACTCAGCTCCCTGGCACGGCACACACAGCTGTAGGAGGTGAGGTGTGAGGGCAGCAGCACCTTGGCTGATGGACACCACCTCCTTCATGCTCACCCTGAGGGGGACAGCGCTGCTGTGTTGTGTGGACGAAGGAACAGCCCTGAGAGGTTAGGAGTAAGGCCAGTGACACCAGTGAACATTGGGTCCAGCTGGCTCAAAGCCAAACTGACCCACAGTCCTCCCCCTGGCACTGGCGAGATTCCTAACAGGATGTGGTCAGTGCCAGGAAGCGATCATGTGAAGGATGCCCGAGGGTTAGAAAAAGTATGAGGCTGTGTATAAAAGCAAGATGCTCCTCAAAGCCATGGGAAGTCCCAAGGAAGAGGGACAAATACAGATCCATAAACAGCCAGGCATTGCCCAAAAGATGAGTCCCGAAGTGTCCTAACCCTCGAATGTGAGGACGGTAGCAGCAAAGTTCCCCAGGCCTGGGCCTGCATTATCACCAGACTGAACTCCCCAACAGGTGTACCCTGGAAGGCCCTGGAAGTGCCTCTGATTTTGCACTGGCAGGCCACGGAGTGGTAGATGGGTCATTGCAGCCCCTCCTCCACTCCACCACACACATGGCTCAACACAATGGCCCTAAGCACTTCTCGGCCCAGCCCTGTCGGAGCTGCCTCCCAGACCCGCTAGAACCTCTGCACAGGCAGCTTCAGGATAAATTACAGTTACCAGAACAGTCTGATTACAGCCTAGCAGCATATCTCAAAGGATTTGAAAGCGCTCTTGAAACATTAATATTTAGAGAGAAAAATGCCTTATGCAAATGGAAGATGAGTGGTGTGATGACACTTACAAAATCACAAACACAATTGATTCCCAATGAACTGACAAATAGAATATTTTAAGATGTTTGGGGTATAATCGATGCATTACAAACTGCATGTTTAAGGTGCACAATTTGGGAAGGATTGGCATGCATACACCTCCAGGAAAACATCTCCACAGTCAAGCTAATGAATGTGTCGGTCACCCCCAAAGTTTTCTGTGCCCTTTGGTAATAATCCCTGCCTCCTGCCGCCTGGTCCACATCCCTACCAACACTTAGTATGGTCAGTCTTAATTTAGATATTCTAACAGATTTTGTAGAAGATCTCATTGTGGCTTTAATTTGCATTTTCCTTAATTACTAATATCTTCTTTTTAGGTGCTCATTTAAAGTCCATTTCTCAGGCTGGGGGTTTAGCTCAGCGGCATAAGCACCTGCCTTGCAAGCAGGCAGTCGTGAGTTCGATCCCCGGTACCGATAAAAAAAGAAAAAAAAGAAAGTCCATATCTCAGGGGCCAGGGATTTATCTCAGTGGTCAGTGGCATAAGTGCCTGCCTTGCAAGCATTGAAGTCATGAGTTTGATCTCTGGTACAAAAAAACCGTAAAATCCATTTCTCACCATGGGTGATAGATCTGTTTGTATCTTCTGCCATTTTTAAATTGGATTGTTTTCTTCCCAGTAAGTTTTGAGACCTCCTTATAGATACAGTATCTGTCTGCAAGGTGCAATGGATTGAACTCTTACAAGTAAAATATGCAAAATTCAGTAGTTTGAAATGCCTGATTCAGTTTCAGTACCAAGTTCTTAAAATTCCTTAAAATGCCCAGTATTCTTTCTATTATACAATGGTATGGGTTACATACAATTACAAAGAACAATGGTAGGCCAGCAGTGGAAGGCAACCCACTGCACGGAGCAGGTAGCGGACAAGAGCTGAAGTATCAGCAAAGGACAGGAGGACTCAGGACTGCCTAGAATTCTTGACATTACCCATGACCTCATTAGACTGGAGGCCTCGAAGCTCAGAAATATGAACAGTTAAGAAAAGGCCAAAAAGGGAAGAAAGAATACACTGCAGACATGTTGCTCAGTGGACATGCGGTCAGGGAACTGGGATGCTGAGGTTAAAGAGGGGCTGTAGGATGCACTCCTTAGTCTCTCCCCCTCTCCAGCACCCCGTAGTGGACCCAAGTGCATGGGCTGTCTCCAGGAGCAGCAGCCTGACACCATGGTAGGTTAGAAGCTTCTCATGGGAGAGTTTGGCTCTGCAGTTCTTCCTCCATCCCCTCACCTTGTGCTCCGCACTGACACCCTGTGTGACCAGCGAGGCACTGCCTGATGTTTGGGGATGACAAATCACTATTTGCATGAGTCCTGGGGAAACTGTACATCTTGGAATTACATCAATGCAGAAAGATTTAGACTGGACAAAGAGGACCTTCCAGAGCTGGGGTATATGGCTGAAGAGATCTCATTACTCAGAAAGATCCTTCCAGAGAGCAGAGGAGTATAACTCAACATCCAGATGACACACGGAAGCCCTGCGGCTTGAGGAGAAACCATTCCTTCTGCGTGGTGCCTGCCCCCACCAGGCCCTCCTCCATCACACCCTCGAGGCACAAGTCAACATCCTGCTCCTTCTCCAGCTCCTGATTTTTCAGCCTGCAATGCTGTAAATTTCCATGCAGGTATTTAGTTTGCCAGGGGGTCTGCCTGTGAGAGTCGCCGAAGTCATACCAAACTCTCAGGTCAGAATTCATGGGCTAAATAAAAGGCTCAAGGCTCTCCGCAGAGGTTCAGCGTTGTTTGTTCTGCTCTGCTGCTTCATGGGCTCTGCAGGTTTTTACGAACTTGCTGAAGCTTTTGTCAGCTGGGTCAGCACACAGGTGTAATGAAGCACTGGAGGCTTCACTGGGGAAGCTCTAGCCTCCAACCACACTGAGTCATGTGAGGAGGCGATCTTTCCCCCGTGTCAGGGGGAAGCACTGAAAGGCCCTTGCCTGCCTCAGCACACTGTCACCAAGACATGGGAACCCAGAATCTTTCAGTTATTTCTCAGCTCTTGTAGAAACTGGAAGAGCACCTGTGGTTTTATTTGAACTCAAGTGAGTGGGGACACAGATGCCTCTGCCCCCGAGATGCTCTAGGGACAGGGACTGTGCATACCTGTCTGCCTGCAGGGAGGCTCTTCTCCCATGGGATGGCAGAGGTGAGGTCCAGCACAGACTTGGAGTCCCAAGATGGTGACCTGGAGCTCTGGGCCTTCCAGCAATGACTGCCCATAGTAACCCACGTGTGCGATCAGCTCAACCAGGGACCAACTCACAGCGGCAACACTATTTGCTTTTGTGAAATACTTGTTAGGCTTGCGACTAAGCTGGGCAAGTCTTGACAAGGGTAACATTTCTGAATGCTGGCTTCTACATCAGTAAGATGAAAACACTTCCCCCGCCTCTCCAGGCATAGAAAAATAGAATGAAATGCCCAGCGTGGCACCAGCATGAGATGTTGCAGCAGAGGCAACTGACACTTGCCTCTCCTTTCCTGTCTTCTTCCCAAGGAAATCTTGTGTTCAACCCCCTCCCCAGGTCACAGGGCATTATTGCCCATGCTGTTTCTACCCTGGAAAGTTAGGGTATCATGACTGTTCATTTAGGACCCGAGCGAGGCCCATGATGGAGAAGGGGCCTCGAAGGCTCCCTAATGTGCTAGCATAGTAATTAGACCTGCGGGGCTTCCAGGTCCCATTTCTTTGGGCAGAAGAAATGCTCCTGAAGGTGTGTGTGCAGTTGAAACTATGCTCCCAGGTCCGTGTCTGTCCACCAGTGTGGCTTGCTCCTGCCTTTTCCTCTATCTGCTCTGGCCCTCGCCCACCCGGGAGTTGCCCAGCTCCAGAGGCTGTGGGCACCCTTGATAAGGGCAGGTCCTAGGAGCTCCACCCTCCCTAGGCAAGGTGGGAGGTTTATCACCAGAACCAGCCTGGGGAGTGAGCTGCTGGCTGACAGGAAAAGGTCACTCCTTAGTACGCAGGATCCTGCCTTTCTCCCGGATCCATCAAGAAAGACCTTCACAGAAGTTCCATCCAGTAGTACATTGGGGGGGGGGGGCAGATCAGTGGGAGTGTGTGCTCTTAGCATGTGGGGAGTCCTGGATCTCATCCCCAACACTGAAAATAAAGAAATGAATGTCACACTGAATGGAATAAGAAATACAGTCTAAATTCCTTCTTAACACTGATAGGAGACAGAACAGAACAGACAGTTTGAGTGGTTTTCCTATTTCCTTTGCATGGTGAGTTCTTTTGACCAATTAGGTAACACTGGGCACCCGGCTGCCCTGGGTACACGAATGGCAAATGTAGGGTCTATTTAGGGAGGTGACCAGGCTGGTGTCAGGCCCACAGCACTGGCACACATCTTCACCATGTTCCTTTTAAGAGGGTTGGCAGTCCTGGAGTCTATTTTTAAACCCACCAGGAAGGTGGCTCATGGATCCCAGACAGGGCCAATATGGAACCGGAGATTACTGGGGGAGGGGAAAGGAGCATAGCTGAATCTCAGATTTTCTCTTCACGTACATCATACGGAGTTCCCCTCCCTGT